TGTTACGTGGTGATGGCAGATCCCACGCTGTCTGACAGCTGTGACCACCATAAGTATCTGGGCAACACAGCAGACACAATAGATATTTTTAGGTGGCCATGTAATCTTGTTATTGTGTTTTGAAAATTCAATAGCTTGTTTTAAGAAAACATAAGTCACCCAAAATATTTCCAAACAGTTAGTGACTCTAACTCTCCGACCCAGCTATAAAATGCCCTTGTTGCTGATGTTTGGCCTTTGATGTGTGCCTAGGGCTTTTTTTTTTTGGCTGCAGCAGATATATTGATTCATTGAGTCATTGATGCATCAGCCTATGTATCAACACTACTGGACCACTGGACCACATTTGATTTTCTTTGCTTGCTTGCTGGGGAGGCGATGAATTTATTAGCCAAAACTGTTCCAGTGTAAATTATACCTAATAGCAATTATCCCATTCTTTTGAAATTTTCTGTGGTAACTACTGAAGAATAGGAGTAGTTACTGGCCAGGCAGTCAAACCTGAAATAAACTAAGCAAGTTGCTGTTGTAGAGCTCTTATTGTGTGAGAGAACCAGTGTCTTTCTGACAGCTTTTTTCCTTTTATGAGTGCAGTGAGTCATGAAGACATGCTCTTCTGCTGTCTGCTCTGAGTGGTTATTGTTTAAAATATATATACTAATGTGCTCATTGAATTATCCCCTACTTTAGCTCTAATAAATGAACACAGATCAATTCTAGCTAGCAGAGCAGGTTCTCCATTCAAGGAATGAGTAGTGGGTAGAACACATTTAGAGATGCAGTGAAGAGTAAAAGATTTCAATGGGATTTATAAGGTACTTGTATTCTTTCAGGCCTGATGAGAGTGGCATGTGAAGGCACTCGTAGAGATCACCAAGTGAGCTTTTCAAATGCATAGCTGTACAAGCAAGAACAATGCTTTGTGTCTGTCTGGCTGCTTTATGATCTATTCCCCACAGTTACCTGCAATATTCAGGTATCCGCTATTGCGTTTTTCTTTGTTCTGCTGGCAGTAGCTGCATGTACATGATAACTTGAGATTTTTCCTGGATAATTCTTTTCCTCGAGTGCTTTTAAGAGGGATCAGAAAAAAAAAAAAAAAAAAAAAAAAAAAAAAGATGAGCAAAGTTTGAAGTGCATGCCCATAGTAATGACAGCTGGAAGGCAAGGCTTGAGAATGCAAACTACTTCATCAAGTAGAGATTAATGAAGTTTTGGCTAAATATTTGCCTACATGAGAAAGGAAAGAATTACATACAAAGGGAGGGCAGACAAAACCAAATTGTTCTTAAAAGTAATAGCAGTGATACTGAAGGAAATTTATTCTACATGCTGTGCTGGAAGTCTGCTGGATATTCCTTTTGTAACCATTCTACCTATTCAGCTAATCCTTTCCTAATAATGTGATCATATGTCTATGCATAATCCTTTTCTATAAAAGGCAGCACTGCATTATCACTTTGTTGGAGAAGAGACTAAATAAAGAGATATATGTGGAAGAATATCCCCATGTTTAGAAACTGTAAAGATTTTGCACAACCTGAATTTTGAATTTTGTTTGTCTTGAGCTTTCACTCATGCATGTATGAAGGTGTGCATGTTCATACCTGCATTCATGCAGTTTTTGTGCACTGTCAGCTACTTGTGCATACACCTGTAAGTGAGGGGGGTAAGATGATTTGTGTGGAAATTCTGTCTCTTATTTAGCAAGTGATTGGATGGCATTTCTGTGTGTAGATGGTATGCTCTTCCCCTACATGATACACCCAGCCCTGAAAGCTCTAGCAATCTAGGTCATAATCCATAGACATACAAAGTCCTCCTGCCTCTTGAAGGTAGATTTTTTGGATGCTGTTCCAGGAGGAAATGAGAAAAGACAACTACAATTTTAGTTCAGTCTTCTTTCTCTCTAGTGTTCTTTTTTCTTATGTTAATTTACTTGGAGCACTGAAAACTGTTGGACAGACATTCACCTTTCAGGCACCTTGCAGATACAAGTTGAGCAACAACATTTTTGATTGTGTTAGATGTGGTTGCAATGGGCTAAGCATAAAGGCAAGGCAATGTTTACAGACAAAGCAATGTTTATAGGTAAGGGTAATATCTCTTCTAAGAGCTATAGTGTAGTTGGAAGAAGTAGACAAGCTTTCAAGTGCTGGAGCTGCAAGGCATACAGAAGGCTTTTCTTCTATTTTTTTTTTTTTTTTTAAATAAGCCAGTTGATCTAGTAGGAAGTATATCTCATGTAATGTTACTGGGAGAGTGTTTGCAGAATATATTGTTAACCTTAAGACTTTCTGATAGGTTCTCACAAAGAGGCCATTTTAATTCTCACTGTGCGGGAAGTAGTTGCTTCAGTGTGGGTGGAAATAGGATGCAATGCAGAAAAGTGAAGAGACTCATTCATCTGGTGGGTTTGTGGGAGGAAACAGACTGATGAGCCTAGGATTTTATCATCCATTAGCTCTGTGTTAGGACTGCAATTTCCACACACACACATACACACACACACACACACACACAAAAAAAAAAAAAAAAAAAAAAAAAAAGGAAATGGAAACAGTGAGGCTAAAAGATCATTTTTGCTTGAGGTTGAAGCAGGCCTGCTAATTTCGCTGTGTGTGGCACTCATATTATACTCAGCAACATTTTGCTTAAGAATTACTAGTGCCTGTTTAATGCATGATGTCAGTTGTGGAAATTACTTATGCTATACTTAGTTTTTTTACTTTTTAGCTCATTCCTCATAACTTTTTTCCTGAACACACTACATAAACCATAAGGAGAGAAGCCTAAGTTTCAGATACCATAGACATTGAAGGATGAATTATATTCAGCTCTTTTAATCTACGCTGTCCATCCTGTCCTTCAGTTCTGAAACGCGCAGTCACTTCTCTTATGATTCAGTTCATGGGTCAGGATGGATGTTTTATGTGCTATTGAATATGTGCAGTGATGATCTCTTATACTTCTATAAAAGCCTTTCATGTCAGTTGGACACTGCTGATCCTTGACTTTGTCCTTTCATAGGAGTGAGATTGGGATAAAGACATTCTCTATTGGATACCAAAGCACAACTGAGTTTTCAAAACACTTCTAAGACCAATTATAGTTAACAGCAAGAGATTACTTTTGGCACATTGCTTACTTTCAGATCCTGACATCACTGCCAAAACTGCGAGGTATGCAGTTTCTGGAGTCAGTGGAAAGATATGACTGTGCAGAAAGGAAGAAAAATTAGCCAAGTTCTTGTGTCCCATTTGCTCCCCTGCCCCTGCACCCCCCAACGCATCGCTGCAGAGCGACAGCTGCATTACGTCCTCAGAAACACTTGAGTTGACCTGATAAAGACCAAAGGGAAGGCAGAGTTATATTTGTACTTCTCTGGGACTTTCCCAGCATTGATTTTGGATTGTCTCATCTCTCTGGCACTTCTGGGCAATGGTAGTCCCCTTGCTGCTGCCAGATTCTCTGTAAACAGTTGTTCAAACACTTTGTTTGAAGGGTGCCCTGTAAAAAGGACTCCTAGTGTTGAATGTTTGAGTGCCCTCAATTTCTACTGGAGACGTGAGCATCCTCTACTAGTGATGTTTGTTAATTTTCTGGATCAGGGCCAACATCTTCCCATATCTTTCTTCTTCTCTTCTCCTGCTGTAAATGTGATGATCAGGAGAAGAGCAAGGAGCTTATCAGATTGTGGCTCTTTTTGTAGTACAATTGATACTGTAGGAGCTGCTGCTGCGCTGGTGGATTTTGAGAGATCCAGCATACCTCGGTGTGGTATTCCAAATTCCTGCATCACAAAACTATCAATGTAGCAATAACCTGGCTGGTTTTGCATGCCCACAGACAGTGCTTTCTTACTGTTTAGTGTGTAACCAGTACTGGAAGTGCTGATGATCTACTGATATATCTTCAGTGCATAGACTATTTTGTACTTCAGCTTTTGATAGCACAGAATCACAGAATGGTTGAGGTCCTCTAGGGGTCATCTGGTCCAACCCCCTACTCAAACAAGGACACCTTGTTGTTGCCCAAGTGGCTTTTGTACATCTCCAAGGGGGAGAATCCACAACCTCTGGGCAACCCATTTCAATGTTCTGATACCTATGCAGTAAAGAAATATGTATTGATGTTCAGATAGAACCACTTGTGTTCCAATTTGAGCCCACTGCCTTTTGTCCTCACGCCGGGCACCAATGAAAAGAGCCTTCTTTGCATCATCTCTTCAGGTATTTACACACATTGATAAGATTCCTCCTGAGCCTTCTCTTCTTCAGGCTGAAAAATCTCAGCTCTCTCAACTTCTCCTCATTGGTCTTCATAGTTGGCGCTCTGCTGGGTATACTCTAGCCAGTGTGTTGCTAAAGAAGGTGGAATAGCCTCTGTTTTGATGTTCCAGTTGCTGTGATTTCCTTGACCACTAGTGTGGCAGGACAAATTTTCAGTGCAGTCATCTTGTGTGAATTAGGAAAAAGTATATGATGCCATGTTTTGCTTGGGGACAAAAGCTTATTTTCTTGAGGTGTTTTTTCATCACCTTCCTCTCACCAAACACCCAAAGATTCCTTGTAAAGCAGGAAGCAAATACAGGCGTACTTACTTGGATTTTGAAAGTCAGACATCATAACTGCAAGATACGCTGCAGTAGCAACAGAGCAGAATCATGACACAGTAGCCCTACGAGGACTTTGAAGTGTGGAGCAACTGATGGTTATTCTAAGGGAGAGGAAAAAGACTCCATTGGCTGAGTTGCAGTAGTCAGACTGTTGAATCCTTGTTGCTGTTGCCATTGTAATTGACAGTAATGATTCCGTAGAAACTAAGACATACTGCACTTTCTTTCAGTACTGAAAACTTGACTGAATGTACATCTGTTGCATAGAAATTTGAGCTGTAATAATTTCTTCTGCTCTTTTATAATGCTGATGGTCCACTTTAATGCAAATCTGCTGTTAAAACATTAACTTGCAGACAATCATATTTGTTATTTCTTGCAGGTTCTGAAATCAAAAGAATTATCATCACCAGGACAGCGCTACATCGACAGCAAAGTGGTTAAAACGAGAGCTGAAGGAGAATGGTTGTCTTTTGATGTCACTGAGGCTGTGCATGAATGGCTCCATCACAGAGGTGACAAGCAGTGTTTTGTCTTCACTCCTGCCCCAAATCGTCATTTATTAACTCAGCAGCATTTCAGGCTCATTCCACTCAAAAACTTATTCCACTTACTTTCATGTTTTGCAGACAGGAACCTTGGATTTAAGATAAGCTTACACTGTCCATGCTGCACCTTTGTGCCTTCCAATAATTATATCATCCCAAATAAAAGTGAGGAGCTTGAAGCAAGATTTGCAGGTAAAAACTGAAAAATATATATTTTTTTTACTTACTTATTTGAGAATCTTGAATCTTAACTAGTAGGAAATTGTGTTAAAGGCACAAGGGTATAACTGTCAGCTGAACTGTTCTAAAACCAACTGAACTACTCTAAAACCAAATGGCACGAGTAAGCTGTCTCATTCCATGCTTGCAGCTGCTGTGTCCTTAAATATCTCTGTTAAAGTTTGCAGCATCCACACTGGATATATATGCACATACAGTTTTGGATTCAGGAAAGACTAATGCACTGTAGACCATCCACTGTTGGATAATCGTGAGAAAATTTACTGAATACTTTCAGAATAAACCCTCTGCTGTCCATCCTAGCACTGCAAGTGTTCAGGCTTCAGTAGAGAAGATTATTGAAGAGTCCAATTAAGATAGTGTTTGGCACACACATAAGCTGCTTGCAGTAGATGTGTGTGAGCATGGTATGTTTTAAGAATATTGTTTGAAAAGCAATACTTGTTATGGCAAATTTCTAAACTGTAGGTAAGGCTGGTTTTCTTACAGAGGCACTTTATTTTTTTATGAAGGACCCCAGTATTTGTAAATACTTGCAAAAGTGCTTCTAGCTGTTTGGAAGCAGTGAGCAACTCCAGCATTTTTTTTCTTTTTCATTTATATCAGTAATATTAAAATTCATCTGAGCAATGACATCAGTTGCTTCAGAAATAAGTGAAGAATAGGTGCCAGACTTGAACAAACGTGCTGCCATGCTCCACTCCAAGTGAGTTGTGGGTTGAAGTAGCAGGAGGGGTATGTCTGTTCAGTGTGCTCCCACTTCAAGCAGTGTAAGTCTGAGTGTCAGGTGAAGTCAATAGAACTACATTGCATAATACTGGTTATCTCAATACATATACTCTCAATCACTGGCATTTGCAATTTATTGTTATTCATATATTAGTTGCACAAATGCTTTTTATGCTGATAGCTTGGTAAAAACTTAAAGATTGGATTGAATAAGTAATACAAAGAATTATGTAATAAGGGTTATGGATATATATGCTTTCTGTGGACAGCAGACAAAGTGATATATAGTAAGCATAAGCTCCAGTATGTTTTTGAGCCATTCAGGTTTCATTTTCTAATAGGGAAATGTTATTTAACTGATGATGCCAGAATTATCATCAATCAGTGCTTGAAGTAGAGCCTATATTAGAATAAACTCATGCTGTTTATCAAGTTTTCATTTATTCAAATATATCATGATTTGGTTCATTGGTTTTCCAAGGATTTGGCTGTATTCCTTGTCAAATATTACATTTATTTAACCATTGTTTCACTGCATTGGAATTTTTTTTCTTTTAAGTAAATATATGGATTGTAGATATGAATAAAGCCATTGTGTGCATTTTAAAGCAATGTTAGTATGACATTTGATCTTTGTATTTTTGCATGTTACAAAAAGTAACTTTTTTCCTTTAGATAGCATTATCTGGTTCAGGAGGTTAATTTTCAAAAGGTTCTCAGTGACAGGCATAACACGAGCTATTTAATTCCTGGGAAAGGCTAAAATTTGGGTTCTGTTGCCCATCCTATTGCTATGATAAGAAAGTTAGTAAGGCAGTTAGAGTTTCAAGGGAAAATACAAAATATGAGATCATTGATTTCTACTGCAAGAATAAATATTTTGATCAATGTCCTTGCCATGATCATACAGAAGAAGGATATATAGAAGGATATAGAGGATCATACAGAAGAAGAATAACAGATTTTTTTGAGAGAATTGGCAGAATTTAATAAACTGACAGTGAGAGACAGAGAATTTATAAGCATTAGAAATACGTAAATGTGATAGAGAAAACTAATGAGTTGAAAGTAAGCAGTGGGAAATGCAGGTTGATTATCCAGAGTAGCTTTAATGCTATTACAAAGTTTAGAAAGGTGCATAACTGTTAGAAGACTGCAAGCTGTTAGAATACTGCCCTAAGTGAAGTACAAAAAGCATCGTTGCTTCGGGCATTGGAAACTGGTTTAAGCAATATAAATGCATTGGCTGAAGGGACTCCACATATCTTTTCTCTTATTCATTTCAACGATTTTGGTAAGTGTACTGACGTGCCATTAAGTGGCTATGAATATGGAGGTCTGATACAACAGATGCATGAGAACTGTGAATATGTTTGGGATCTTGGGCTGAAATTTGGCTCAACTTTCCCAGTAAATGTGTTCAGTTGACGCCATTGTTGCCCAGGTTCTGATAGCATTTTTTTTAAAGAGATGGTTTATTTAATTTGTGAAGAAAATAGCAACATAATGTTTATCACCAAAATGTATTTTTTGAAGGTATTGATGACTACACATATTCCAGTGGTGATGTGAAAGCTTTAAAGTCCAATAGGAAAAAATACAGTGGGAAGACCCCACATCTTCTGCTAATGTTGTTACCCTCCTACAGACTTGAGTCGCAACAGCCCAGTCGGCGGAAGAAGCGTGCTCTAGATGCTGCCTATTGTTTTAGGTAACTATGCATCTACATTTAGTATCCTTTACAAAACTGTGCCAGCTTCTGAATTGTAATGCAGTTGCTTATCATGCAAGCAAATGTTTTTTTATGGTAGGCATTTTACAGAGCGTGGTCCTTGTTCACAGACCCACAGTGTCCATGCCCAAAGGGTATCTGTCCAGTGTGCTCCACTCCCATGGAGACAGTGTCTGAAGAGGAAGGTTAGAACCTCAGAATGCAGAAACTGAGTTCCACCTGGGGTGATTCCCAAGCCTATCATCTTCATAGTTATAACCAAATTATCACCTCCGCTGTGCTGAGTGGGACTCAGTAGGACCTGGAGAAAAGTACTTCAGTGATCCTCCATTAGCTTTCTATAAGCAATTCTTGCCATGTATGAGCATCTCATTTCATTTACAGTATAAACTACAACAGATGTGATTAACTTGTTTTTAAATCATCATTCAGGGAGCAAACAACTGGATTATTTTTGTTCTCTATGTTGTCCTTGTGATAGCCAATGCATTTGTCTGTATTTTATTTTCCAGGAACGTGCAGGATAATTGTTGCCTGCGTCCACTTTATATTGACTTCAAGAGGGATCTTGGCTGGAAATGGATTCATGAACCTAAAGGATATCATGCCAATTTCTGTGCAGGAGCCTGCCCATATTTATGGAGCTCAGATACTCAGCACAGCAGAGTAAGTAAATCGGTCCAGATAGTAGCCTTAGTTGCACCAGAGGAGATTTAGGGGGTGGATATTAGGAAAAATTTCTTATTGGAAAGAGAGGTGAAGTATTGGTACAGGCTGCCCAGGAAGGTGATGGAGTCACTGCCCCTGGAAGTGTTCAAGAAAAGGGTAGATGTGGCGCTTAGAGACATGGGCTAGTTTCTATTTTATAACTGCAGGGTGAAATATGTTTCTTGGACTGTCATCAGTACAAGAGCCTGAAGCTTCCACATGTTATCTCAGTAAATAAGAAAATATGACCCTAAAGAGGGACTTGCATGTGCCCTCAGACTAGAGTTGAAGCTGAAGTCATGCATTGATCCAAAGATACAGAGATACAGTTTTTTTAGCATGGTCATCAATACAGTGTAGGAATGCATCCTATACTGTTTGTGACCATAAGCATGATACAGCTTTGGAAGGCTGACTGAAAAAGGACCAGTCAGTAAAGAGCATGAGTGCAAAATGGCAATGAGTTCCCTCCCTCGGCCAAGGCACTCAGAATGATTATGGGGCTGAGTCTTAGCATCCAATTTTCACCTGCTTTATGAGTTGCTCTTTTTGTATTGTTAGTGATCTGCTACCATGCTGAATTTCATGATGAGGTAGGGATAGGTGTACTTCTTCGAAAGAGGCATTTATTCTTGTACATTGAGAATTTATTTGAGCAAGAATGACCTTGTGTCTGGGGTGCTTATGAACTGATAGATGGTTGGGATACAATCTTCTATTGTAGGGATTGGATGGGTTATTCTAGCCAAGTGCTTTAGAATGAGTGATACTCTGCTGTGAAGTGCCTATTTTTCTCCACTGTCAATATGGATGTCTAGACTGTAAATGTATGAGGCAGGCATTTGCATTGCAGTTGTCATAAAGAAAGAATTTCACCCTCAGGTCCGTACTAAGGATGATGTCTCCTTTTTTACTAATCTTCCTTAAAATATCAGATCAGTGTCAGCCTCTTCAAGAGAGGGATTGCTTTCCTTTTGGTCTGTAAAGACATAAGGTACAGGCCTAAGTGTAGGTATCTTTTGTAACTGTGAGTGGCTGTGGCATTGTAGTATCAGCAGTGGCTGTCAGCTGACAGCGGTAAATATTTTTTAATAGAACCTATGTTTCCATGCTTGTGTGGAGTAGTAGTGTACGCTGTTGGGAGCAGCACTTGTTTTTAAAGGAAAGAGGAAGAATAACTGTCATGATCACAAATATGTGGTTTGGATAGTCACCCAAATAGGCAGAGGTTGCTTAATAAAGTAGTTAGTGTTGCTGTCCTGAACAGGACTTCTGTCTCTAAAAGCTGTAAAAGTTGTGTTGAAGCTCTAGGAAAAGGTCATTTAGTGTTTAGCTAACACATTAATGGCATCCTCGGAAATACCTGTGAATCATCAGTGGGTAACCCTACATACTTCCCTTGCAGAGAACCATGCATATGAATCCAATGTGACATAAAGTACCAGTGCTGCTGATCCTCAGCCACAGCTGATCCTCAGTTGGACTACTGAGGAAGTAGTCATGGTTCTTGAAGGGTGGCATTAGTGGATTTACAGAAAAGTATGCAGGGATGAGAAGCAAAGCAGTACTCATGTGCTGAAAGACTCTCCTCTCCCTTTGGTGCTCTTGTAAAACCGAAATCCTGTAACAGTAAATGACAGTCTGAAGTTGCAGATGAAAGTCATTCAGTCTTTTCTTTCCCTATACATACAATACAGCATGTGTGCTGCTTTGAAGAGCTATGCTTTCAAGTCAGGCTGCAGGTACATACATGTTTTAAGATTTAAGGCTGTGGGGATAAAACAGTAGGAAGCTCAGATGGTTTGTGACACCAGGTTGAACTGGAGAAGCGTGCAAAAATATTCAAATCCAGGCATCTTTCTTCTGATTTCACTGGACTTTTTCCCAGGCACTGGAGGAGGAAGTGATGCAGAAAGGAATTTGCTTTCCGGAGTGGAGCAGGCAGAGGAATCTGTCTTAATCTCTTATTTCCTTTCTCCTTCTAGGTACTCAGCTTGTATAACACCATAAATCCAGAAGCTTCTGCCTCTCCATGCTGCGTGTCCCAGGATTTAGAACCCCTCACCATCCTCTACTACATTGGCAAAACACCCAAAATTGAACAGCTGTCCAACATGATTGTAAAGTCTTGCAAATGCAGCTAAAGGATACCCCAGAAGCAACGTGACATGTGTGTATCAAAAAATAAAAATAAAAATAATAACCAAGGAAAAAAGAAAGAGAGAGCGAGGAGGAAAGAAAGAAAAACGAAAATCCAGGATCATCAGTGTTAAAAGGAAAAAAAAAAAAAAAACAAAGAAGAAAAAAAAGCGGTACTAGTCTGAACTGTTTGAAAGTTTGTTTTTGTTTTTGTTTTTTTTTTTTAAACTGGCATCTGAAGCAAAACATTGAAGGCCTTTATCTTACATTTCACTACACATAGTGTGAGATAGACAAGAAGCAAAGTTAAAGGAAAAAAAAAAAAAACCTTTTAAAAAATAAACACTGGAAGAAATTTGTTAGTGTTACTATGTGAAAGGAAAAAAACAGGAAAATCCCATGAAGTGGAGTTGCTGTATCTGTCCCGTGCCTTACTTGATCTCTCTGTATTGTTATGCAATAGGCATCCTACCCATTCCTCTTAGTTGTAGAGTTAACAGTGCATTATTTATTTGTGTGTAAAAACTATCAAATGAACATTTCCATATTGCCATTGGAAAAAGAAAACCAGCAAATGTGGACAAAATGGAGACCAAATAAACTGCCAGAAATACATAGAAAGCCTAAAGGAATACAAGCTCAAAAGTTTCAGAAAGTAATGGTTAGTTTAGTTGGATTTAAATAGAAATCAGTTATTACACTATTGAGAAACTCTGCCTTTAAAATACCTTATTTTTCATGCCAGCTGCCTGGAGAGGCTTCTTGTAAGGTCTCAAACCCTTGTTTTAAATACTGAATAACTTACTAATAAAGGACACTCTGTTTCAGTCTCAAAGACAAGTCTATAAGATTTTTTTTTTTTACTGTAAATGATTTAAATGTCAGTTTAGTAAACCAGTGAAATATTTAACATGTACTGGTCTAATCTTCAGACCTTAATATGTTGCTGTATAGCTATGCTATGGGATTTTTTGTTCTTTTGGTATATGTAACCATACCTAGAGTATTGCAATAGGTGGGTAGTAAAAGCCAGCTTAATTGGAAACATATCTGTAGATCTCTATTTGTAAACTATTAAAAAATTAAGTACTTTATGTGTAATGTGTAAATTTTCACCATATTTTTGTACTCTGTAATACTGTCAGCTCTCATGAGTTTGAATTTGAATTTGGGGCTCTTTTTGATCACTCAGAATCACGTGTTTCCCTCTAGCTGGCCAGTATGAGTAGAGTCCCTATATTTTGACTTGCACTACAAATACATGTTTTATAATAATTGCTATACATGTGCTTTGTATATTGTTCATCATTATGACATAAGCTACCTGACTCCATTTGTGTTTTTTTTTTTTGTTTTTTATTTTTGTTTTGTTTTTGTTTTATAAAAAAGGATGGATTAAAGTGCTCTCTCCTCCCCTCCTTCCCTCCCTCCTCTCTCATCCCCATTTGTAACACTTGAATCGTGATGCGGTTCAGAGGCAGAGAGTGACATCTGCTCCTGTGCAAAAAGCTGGTACAGAGTATCTGCCTCAGCAATGCCTTTGCATGGGGCATGCATTGGAGCAGGCTACCCTGGGGCTCACACACAGCAGGACTTGCCCTGCCATTAAGCTGTGGGGCTGATCCTGCTCCCAACGCACTAACAGAGGCTTGCCTTTAACTTCTGCAGTGGCATGGCAGGATTTGCAGGGTCAAACTCTTGATTTTTTGAGTTTTCAAACTTATTAAAAGAAAAAAATGGAAAAAGAAATATGGGGTCTCTAGGGCTTTGTTGCTGTTACGCATTTGAATATTGTAGAGGGAGTTGAAAAATAATCCACATCATACATTTCTTTTCTAAAAAGTTTAAATTGGCAAAAAAAAAGTCATGAAGAAGACACAATCATATGATGAATGGTTTTGCATGGCAGAGCTTGAAAACTGCGCTAGAAACATGCTACTTGGATGAGAAGGACATTTTCTGTCATTGACCTGAGTGGTGTCAGGAGCATGCTCCTGAGCTTTATGTTGTCAACTCCAGTTCTAAGATGTGCAATTTCTTTGACTTCAGCAGAACACTGATGCAAAGCTGAAGTACCGCAGCGGCTTGCACCCGCCGCTCCTCAGGACTTCAGCAGAGTCTATGCTTACTGCCTACATGGACACGTAGACCCACAGTTGATCTAATCCCACCCATTGACTCAGCACAGAGGAGGAGGTATGTTAGACTTCTGATTTATTTAGCGAGTTGAAATGAACAAGTGAAAAATCTGTCCTGCTAACACTTGCTTGAGCCAGACTTACTCCAGTGAGAAGATGCACTGAACTCAGTGAAACTCCTCAGGGTAGTAAATACTCTGGATTTTGCTGCATACAGCAGCAAAATTAGTTTTATCAGGTTCAGTATGAGAAAACTGTATTTTTGTTGGACAGGAAGGGAGACATGGATGAACACGTTTCAAAAGGCTTAAGAACATTTTTGCAATTCTCTGCTATGGGAATGCAACTTAGAGTGGATTTGAAGCTTTGGAAAAGTGGAGTACAAGATAGCATAGTTGTCCAATTATACTCACTATGCGCTGGACGCAGCTGAAGATTTTGGTTTGGGTTTGGAGCTTTTGTTGTCTAAATTTAAACATAAAGCCTTATTTCTGTTAATCACTACCACAAGATCAGATACTTTTTTTTTTTTTTAAGTTTTTTTTCCTCAAAATGCACTGATAGTATTTGAGATATTGTTATAAATCTCCTACAACTTTTTTTTCTCCACTTTATTAGGCATGCATTTTGCTTAATTACCAGGGACACTATTAGACCTGATCCTACAGTGCGCAGAACTCATGGGTGAAACACCCCTCTATAGAGTGGTGTGATGTGAAGCCAAACACCACTCAGGTCTGATGTTGATTACCACCCCCTCCCCCCATCAAATGATGTTTAGATGGGACTGCAACAGTTTAAACTGTCACAATAAGTAGGTAGCTGCTACCATCTCAGCAAAGTCCCTGAGCATTGGTGATGCCCAGCACCTGGCAGGAAATGTTTCGCACTTTGAAAGGTCAGACCCAAAGGAGCTGTGTGAGCTTGAGGGGGGTCTTAGCACTTAGCTGAGTGGGTTAGGACAGCATTTTTTATGTGTTTAGCAACAACACGATTGTATGGTTGGTGTGGTTTAAAAGAAAAAAAAAAAAAAAGGAACTTAAAGGACAGCTGTGTTGTACTTTGGTGATCGATTACTCTGTATTTTAACACATTGTATGTCTGTTTTTGTGGTGCTCTAGTGGTAAATAAATTATTTCAATTATATGCTGGTGTTGTTCATATGACAGTGTTCTTCTGGCATAGACAATTCCTCAGCTCAGGCTCAGCTTAATTGCTGCCAAGCACTTTTTTTGTGGGGAGCCTTGATGTGGTCCAGCACATTTGCTCTGAGGATTACTTTCCCCTCAGCAACTGCATAATATGTTGGTCTGCAGACAAGAAGTGGCTTCTGGTTGACTGCTCTGAGCAGCAGCACTATCCCATGTATGCACAGGACAAGGACTACCCCATACAGGGGGTTGGAGCAGTGTTACTACATGACCTCACTATGCCCCATCTTTCACCAGCACCCTACCCAAACATCTAAAGGTCCCTCTGCATGGCTGTTACTCCAGGCACCAGTTACAGTGGCTTTCCTCTTTGGTAGTGGGTTTCAAAGTAACTCCTTCCTCATGCCTGTAGTGCCACAAAAGATGAGAAGGTGATCTGAGTCAATTTTTGGATGCCTGGACAGTGAATGGTCTCACGTCATCGCATCCTTCAGTAAAGGAATGGTGAAACTTATTTTGTACATTGAACAAAATAGCCTTCAGCGGCATGAAATGGGTATATTGGAGGAGGGGCAACAGGCACAAGTTAGAACAAGGAAAATTCTGGCTTAATGCAAGGAAAATATTTGTACAGTGGAGCTGGAACAGGCTGCGTGGCGTCTCCATCCTTGGAGATGCTCAAAACCTGCTGGGCAAGGCTGTGGGCAGTCTGCTCCCGCTGCACCTGCTCTTAAGCAGAGGTTGGGATCCTGGAGATCCCTGCTTGCCTCCATGAAGCTGCAGATGATTACAGCCCAACCCAATCATTTATCTGATTCTCAGTCTTTTCAGCTAACTCTGTTAGCAGCAGCCACAAAATCATCTTGAAATATTTTGGTTTTTTTTTGTTTGTTTCTATGTTTGTTTTGTTTGCTTGCTTGTTTTTATAACAAGAAATACGATTCCATAGTAAGTCTGTCTCCATGCACTCTGCAATATATAATTGTAATATCTAAACAAATAAGAAGTAGAGAGCAGGGTATTGCAGCTTTTTTTTTTTTTTTTTTTTTTTTGCTAGCCCTTTAGCAGCACCTGTCAAATAAATAAAGCAGACTGGAGGAAGGGCTGCAGCATAGAATCATGCTTCCAGAAGTTGGACTGATGACAAGAGGGGCTGAACACCTTACTTTCTCTTCCATATACTTTGTCTGGGATCTAAGGGGTGCATAGCATTTCTTGGCATGAAAGAAAGAATATGTTTATGCCAGATTGTTTAGTGCTATTGTGATAAATTACAACAAATGGACCCTGTGGTCTGTGAATATGTGTTTAGGAATGCAACTTGGGATAAGCAGTGAAAACAATCGTAGGGGCCGTTTCACCACAGTTAGGCTCCAGTCTTACACTGGAGCCTTAACTAATGTCAGTGAGTTTATATTAGTGTAAAACTGTGGTCCTGCAAAAATTGACAGATATTAATTTTCATTGTATTTTTAGTTACCCAGTTACATGCTTTTTACATATATGTAATCTGCCAGCTCCATTCCTATCAAAGGTACTACTCAGTTTATACTGGTGAGAATACTCTGCAACTCTGGCTGCTTTATTTCTGAAATCCATGAGTAACAGGAGAGTTTGAAGTAATATGTTGATTGGATCTTTTAGATAGGAAAGTCACTGTGGTATCTATGATTGAAGAGGAACAAAGTGGAAAGAATGCATTGTGCTAAGAGAGATTTTACAGTGTGGGGCTGAAAAGATGGATGTTCTCCCATGATAATAAGATTAATGCAGAATATTTTGGTGCTGGATTTGCCTTTTACTATCACTAATACAGCCTCACCAGACTCTATCACTAAAGTCCTTGCTTCTCGAATCAAATTGTGGTTAATGAATGAGGAATATTCAATATAGGAAAATTCAAACCATGTAAATGTCTTAAAAACCAGTTTTTAGGTCAAAATCTGCCTTAGATCAGACGAAGTAGATTCTGTGAGGAGCCATGAGTTCTGGAAGAAAATAAACCAAGAAGTTATGTAATTATATGTGGTTATAAAGTAGATGTGAAGTAATGTAGTTGGCTTGTCAGTGGGTATGGGTGTAACAGTAATTTCTTCATCTGTATAAAAATAAAATTAAATGGAACAGAAAGCTGATGAGAACTTCCAATCAAATTTGATATGCTCATTTAATGAAGTAACCTGCTGGAATCTAAAACAGAACCCCTGGGGTATAAAGCTTTCTTAAAACATATGGTGGTCCAAGAAAGAAATCGTTTGTTTGAATGATGTGTTTTAGTGCCAAAATAAGATGATAGTAGTGAGGGAGGTTCAGTGGTCACTGATCTTTGGTCTCAGCACTCTTTCCCATACTGTAGGCTAATCTCAGTTAAAAGATCCATGCTAATTGTGTGGAATACTTTTCTATAAGAAATGGAAGAAGGTAGATTCAAATGGCAAAAGGGAACTGAGTCCCACTTTGTTCTATGAAATACACATGAGGCACAGAGAACAGTTCTTACAAAATTCTTCCAGCTAATTAGAAGTGGACCAACCCCAAATGTTATCATGTGAGTCCACATTTTACCAAATACTAAATTCAAGGATTTATAGTTCTGATTTTCAAGTAGTCTGAATCACTTTTCCAAAACTGAGTTAGGTTCAATCCCCACAACTGGTTTATAATCAAACTTTAATCACCAGATTCACTGTGGGGACGTATAAGGCTTTCACATGTGCCAGAGTTTTTTTACACTCGAGTAGCTCTTAGGCAGGTACAAGTCTCTCAGAGGAGCTGGATTTTTCCCAAGCACAAAGATGCATAAGTCTAACTGCCATCTGTAGTAATGGCAGTCAGACAAAGTGTCCCTCCAGATCGAGTTTATTTTCAGGGGACTGGTAGTGGGATATCAGACTTCAGGTCACTTTATTCTTCAGTGATTGAAGGCCCAGCAGTATGGAACAAAGTGATGGCTTTTGCCATCTGATGGAACCCATGTGAAGCAAATCAACAGCTTCATTCCAGCTCCTTGTGTAAACTTGCTGGCTGTCTCCAAGGGTATGCAGACTAATTCCATTCATCAAAAGAGGAAAATATATATTTATTGGGAAAACCGTGCTTTTTTTCCCTTTGGAAAAATGTAAATACCAAAGACAAAACATGCTGAAGTTCATGGGCAAGTTATGCATTCCTCTGCAGTGTGTAACCTGTTCTCAAAGAGGTGGTCTGGATCAATTTGTGAACATTTGGGAGTGAAAGCTAGATTTAGAGAGACTGAAATGCAATGTTTCCTCCACTTCTGCAAAACTTTCAATCACAAAAAAGTCAAAGGACTGTAAATAAGAATATGATCTGACTTTTACTCTGATACCCAGTTATGTTATGTGCAACACAGAAGGTGAATCACCACAAATCTTGGCTCTCAAAGACAGCCAGATGATGTATGCAGAGCCAGGTCACAGAAAGCAGAGCAGGAAAGATGAATACAACAGAAGGATTATGTCAGCATAAAGTATATGACCTAAATAAAGCCACAGGATAAGTACACTCTTTTTTTTTTTTTTTTTTTTTTTGCTGTACTTTATGCTTTGGCCTTGGCTATGGTTCCATACCACAAATGGCTGTTCCCATTTCTTATCCTTTGCCTTGCAATAGAGTCATCTTTAGGGAGGAAGGAGTTTACCTGGAAATAACGAAGTCACTGGCATATTTATAATTTTTTATCAGACAGAAAACATACTTTGAATGAGCCACTAACAAGACCTTAAACTTTTCCAGTAGCTAAGGACCCCTAGCTTCTTCCCTGACCTTGGTCTTACAGTATTAAAATGTCCTTCATTGCACTGTGACAACAGATGATGTCTATCTTGTAGTCGAAATTCCACTGAGTACTCCAGGAGCTAAATGAGAAAATTCATGCACTATAACCATGGGTTTCTCTAGCATAAAGTCCCTTCAAGAAGCACTGTATATCCAAGTGCTCTTCAGGCTGGGCATAAACAGGGCCTCAAACATCGTGCCAGCAATGGGTAATCCATGTAAGTAATGCAAACATACGATGTTCTGGTCTCCACAGTGCTCTCAGGGTTGCACCCAGACAACTGTCTCACTGATCAGAACTCCTTCCTCCTGTAAGTGGCACAGGACCAATCAGTGACTTGCCCATCACTGGGGGAAATCTGTCCTCAGAAGATGGTGCATACATAATTAGAGCCTGCTTTAAAACTTGCACAGGCCTGCAATGTTTATATAGCTTTTTCTGTATTCTTAAGTCTCTCGTTCTATTTGCTAAGTATCTTTACACTTTCTGGACCACTTCACTAGTTATATTCTTAGCAGTCTTACTGTATAGCCCCAGGGAGTTAAAAAAGGAAATTTCAGACTCTTTCACTTCTGGGTTACTCCAGCAATAGCAGGTTGTTTTTGTAACTTGTGTTGCTAAATGCAGGAAATGACTTCTGGAGGCAATGGAATTGAACTGCCTGGTCTTATTCCCAGCTCTTGCATTAGCTTTACTCCAGCACAACTGTTTCAATAGGGGACATGCCAGGATCTAATGTCATTTGTAAAAGAACAGACAGGCTGTTTGTCATTTCACTCGTAACTTTGCATACAGCATATGTGTTTGCAAAAATGTTTGAGCATGGCTTGCCACAACAACCTCCATGAAATCAAATGATTTTGATTTTATATTTGAAACCTAGAAAAATATGAATATGATAATTTTCCAAAGGAGGAAATTAATCCTATTATTACTTAGATTGGTACATTTAGCAAGGTGTTGCAGTCATCCGACAGTAATGAAAATAATAAAATTTCATACTGGTTTCAATTCTTGCACTATACTTATTGAGTGTGCATTTTATACTACTACAGGTAGGCAAAACTATATTTTCAGTTGCTTGTACCTTTCTTCATTTTCAGGCTGAATTTTTGATATTGAAGTTCAGCCCAGAGATAAATTTATGTACAGAGTTTTATCAGGCTTTTTTGAGAAATCTTTGGCTTCTCAGAGAA